GGGGTTCCTGAGAAAGATGACAGAAGACTAGATGGCAAGGGGGGAAAGGGGGGGGGGCAATTTTTGCCGAATTTTAACTGACGTCATTTCTGAATGGTCCCTTACCACTCAGACAGAGCTGTATCATGCTTAAATACCACTTTGCGATTGCCTGTCATGACGCTAACGCGGGTGGTTGGTGGGTGCTCTTGTGTGGTTTGCTCCTTCGTTCCTATCTGACATGTATCGTCCTTATCTCTCCTTCTTTTTTGGTGTGTTTTGCTCAGTAATAAGACCTTCAGTTTTCGGCGATTACATGACCTTATTCTATTGCTAGTGCTGTACAAGTCTTACTAAAACTAAACCATGACCTAATTGAGTTGCAAGTGCTGTGAAAGTCAAACTGAAACGGAACTGAAAATATAATGTCTCTCCCTTGGAGCGTAATAAGGAAGTCCGGATCTGAAGGGAGGAAAGTACGTGTAGTATTTGTGGAGTCTACTTCCTCTATGTCTACAGCCCAGACACAGCTGTCTCATGCTTAAAAAACTGCTTTGACTTACTTTAAGTTTAAGATCCCATCTGTCAAGACGCGAACGTGGGTTGTTGTCGGCTGGGTGTTGTGGTCTGGTTTGTCCCTTATTTCTCCTTCTTTTTGTGTGTGTCCTGCTCCGAGGTAACACCCTCAGTTTTAGGACGTTAAACTCATTGTTTTAGTAAGTGTTTTACGGCACTTGCAACTCGATAAGGTCATATAAATGCCGACGATTAGACGTGTTACAAGAGAGTAACAAACACAAAAAAGAAGGGGAGATAAGGACGGTCGATAGATGTTTGACAGGAAAGAAGAAGCAAACCACACCAGAGCACCCGCCAACCACCCACACTCAGAGGTCCTTAATAGCCTAATAGCGTTGATAGGGACGTTAAAGCTAAACCAATTAATTTCACAATGTCATTTTCTCCACAGCCTGACGACGTGGACGGCGACGGTGTCGGTGGGCGTGTCCCTGAGGAGGACCACGATTGTGGAGGCACCTGTCTGTCATCGTATAAGCCCCGCCCCCTCCCCCTTCAGTCCCGCCTGCGGTGGTCGTGAAGGTCCTCCAGTTCCAGCGACACTCGGTGCTGTGTGGAAGATCTGGGCATGCCTGCTGCTCCTATTATGTCCATCAACTCGGTGAGTTGTTTGTGTATTAAGAATATATCAAAACTAGCTGGTCAAGTCATTGTGGAACAGTGCGCACTGCTTGTGAACGGAAGCTTCACTTGTTTACAATGGTGTCTTAGACTACTGTGCCGGAACGGCATGGGGG